TCAATATATATTAACTATATTAAATCCGCATTTCTGATTGACAATAACAAAATGTTATGCGGGCAAGGATCATATTATTGCAACTGTTATTAAACGCATATGTGTAATCACGTAGAAACATTTATAATTATCCGGAAAGTATGATGCAACTTTGAAGATCATCTTTCTCTAGAAAATTACGCCGATCTTGGTAATAATTAATTCTATCTCTGCACATGCCAGGCTCTGTGGAATTATCCTTGTTCTACCGCAAACACTGTGAATAATTTCGGCTTGTTAATTAATTGAACAAAAACAACAAAACTGAACGTAAGTAATCTGAATGAGCCGTGTTATTCTCATCATTAAATCGCTTCACTCGCTAATATATATATTTCGACAGCGAAAAAGTCCGACGGATCCTTGTCTCGTAATCAAAAGTATCCTTCTCGCTATGTCGGAAACCCTACATGTTGAGATCCCATTGTCTATTTAGACGTTGGGGCGGCCGGCTGTTGATGCGGCGGCTGCCCCGTCATCCCCGTCAGTCTTGGTTGCGAGGAAGCGAGCAATTCCTTGTAATATGCGCTAAATTCCGGCGGTAGAAATGACGTCGCGGCAGCAGCTGCAGCGGCCGTGGGCGGAATTGGCGGTGGGAACAAACCATTATAGAACGCGGAGTAGTACATGGGGTCCAGAATTGGTAGGAACTTGCCAGGCGCGTTTGGCAGTTGCGGCAACGGAAAGGCGGCAGAATTGTTTTGCGATACCGTCGGCACAAACCCCGATGGTATGCTAGGTAAACTATGCCGTCGACCAGCCTCGTTCTGCCTGGATTCTTGTTGTTGTTGCTGCTGCTGCTGTTGTTGCGCTACCAAGGATGATTTCTCGCCCTCGCTGATCCTACGATGTTGATGATCCCTACCGACCTCCGCGACCGCTTTCCTCCTATCAATACTCATCTGTTGTTGCTGTTGTATCGTCGTAGCCTGCATTCTTGCAAACGAACTTCCACTATGATGATTCAGATGATTCAAATTTGGTACGTTCGGAATAATGGGATGACTCGGCTTCCTCGGCGTATATGGCGAAACTGGTTCGCTTCTCACTGTATACTTGCCATTCATCTGTTGAGGTGGTTGCTGCCTCCTTTGCGCGTTATTTATTGTTCCTATTGCACTGATTTTATTAGGTGGACTTGGTATTTGGACGTGAGACGGCGTACTTAGATGATGATTGTTTTTTTGCTTGGGATTCACTAACGTAATCTCGAGGTTATTCGAAGCTATTGTTCGACTGTCGATTACGTTTTGGTAGGCAGGATGGGGTACTCGTTTCGGAAAATCGGCGACAGATCTTTCCGACGCTTTCTCCTTGGTTGCGAGTGAGTTTCGCACGTCCAAATTTAACGGATTAGGCCTCTGCACTACAGGTACTCTGACTATTTCTAGACTGGGCCTAGGAAACGTCGGTTTCTCACTCGACTTTTGCGTTAGATCGAGAACACCTTGTCCAACGTCATTACTAGAGCTCATTTGAAGATGCTGCGAGCGTTGTTGGTGATGCTGCTGCTGTTGATGTTGATGTTGATTATGTTGATGTAGATGCATCGGCCGATATTTTTGCGGAGAAATAATGATATCCTTGGGATTTCCGTAAACCGTCCTTTCGTTGTGCATAAATATTGATCTCGATTGCGTCACTTTGTGACGCGGTGGTAACAGCCTACCATTTGGAATATTTGGCGGAACGAAACGATTGTTTGGTTGATATGGAATTGTCGCTGAAGTCGGAGATATCGCGTTCGCATTCGCATATAATTGCAATAACGCGGCATTGTTAGAATTACCGAGGTTTATTATCCGACTATTCGCCACATTGTTGTTGTTCATCATGCTAATATTGTTATTATTGTGATGAGCCGGTAGTTGTTTGATCGGCGGTATTCGCGGTTGATGATTTTGATGCTCCTGCGGCGACGATAGCATGTGTCCTATATCAGGCGTCACAGTAACAGATATCAATTTAGGAATGGAGTTGGGCGTGACCGGAAGCGGATACGGTGAAACCGACGGCTGCTTTTCTTCAGCGGACTTCATTGTAGCCGGCGGTGGCGCTGGCTGATGCTGCTGCTGCGGCGACATGGAGATGTTACTTTGAATCACGCTAGGTCGCGACTCCAAATCGACAGCGGTGACCTCGAGACCACCTTCGCGCAGAATTTCGAGTTTGCGTTTCTTAAAGCTGGGAATGATTATCTTGTCCCGACTAGTGTCGCTCTCGTTCTCAAGATCAATCACCTCGGGCGATCTAGAGACCGGTGGTACTATCGTCTTCTCTACGAATTTCTCACCGCCGAACAACGGTATATTTTCCTTGCCCTGTGCCAATAGAGTCGCCTGCTTGGGATCTAACTTAATCTCCTTCATATCCTTCTCAGGCGGAGGCGTTAGTGTGACTGTCGACGCGTTTGTTGCTACACTGGTTACGGGCAAGCCTGGTGGCGAACACGATGGTGGAACTTGTTGGGATATTAAAGGACTGTTGAGCTGCCGCTCCAAGACGCTCTGATTGTTGCTGGTACCATTCGTTGGTGTTGTGGAAGGTGTGCTGTTGGGCGTTGAGACAGACGTATTGGAGGATGGCGGTGGACTTGGCAGTTGGCTAGTTTGCTGGCTGGAAGGTGTCGCGTTGTTGGCGATTATTGTATTCAGAGACTTCAGGCGTTCTGGTTTCACTCGCACGCTACGTAACGAAGACGTCTTGCCGGTTTCGGCTTTGGGTTTTTCATTCGAGAGTAAAGTCTGCAAGCGAGAAAAAGATGTAATTATACAATAATATTCGAATAGCATTAAGTATGTGTTTCACGCTAATTAAATGAATTTACCGTTGTTGCTGACATTATTGGTTGTAAAGGCGGTGTCGTGATCGCCGGAATTGCATCTATAGGCGGAGGTGTCTCCGACGTGTATGTATCGCTCGGTTCCTCCTTGATATCTAAATCGTCGGACGCGCTCATACTCTTGGTACGTCGTCCATTATTTAATCTCACTTTTGTCTCTTCGCCTCGTTGATATCTTTCATATGGTAATAATAATCTGTAAAAAAACTCTTATCGTAAAAGCTATTTACATTGAATATAAAAAAAATCAGCAGGACAAAAAACTATAAAACACGAAATAGTAAAGATCTTAAAACTCGAGAAGAAACAACCGTGGTTGTTCCACAAAAATCCACAGAAATACTTCACCTTTCATAGTGTCTACGTGTAATAGTCGCTGCACTAGTAGAACCCGTATTGCCACCGATGTCGTCGTAGATGGTCTTCCAAAGGCGGCCAGCGCTGACGGAATCGTAACCACCGAGCATTTGCACCTTCGTGTAAAACAGGAACAGATCGACTGCGGAGGAAAAAGAGGATCGTTAGAGTCGTCGTTCAAATCGCGGAAACGGGACGATTGTGATCTAGATTTTGCGAGAAGGAAACCCTGCTGTGTGTTAGCTCTCTGCAGTCTGGCAGCCAAATCGTCGCCGGAATTACGCGGATAGAAATTCGAAAAGTCAGAAAAATCGGTCTGGCCTTCCGGTGGCAAGACCGGTCATCGGATAGGAAATCCGAGAAAAAAATAACCGAGGAAAAGATACTGACTCTGCCTGTAGCCCAGCAGTGGCATCTTTCCGACCGGCGTACCCCGAGAGTTCATAAAACTCTGCACGTCGGTGATAAACTTCTTCTCTTCCGCGCTGGTCTTCCTCTCGCTCCGCCGTACCCCGGACGAAGGCGGCCTGCCGACCGTGGGTATCACCAAACTGGTGCTCGTGGTCGCCGACGTGCTTTTTGACGTCGACGCCACCGAGGCTTCGCTCTCATTCGACGATTCGCCCGGCGAAGCGCTGCGCTTTTTACGTTTTCTTCGTGGTCTACCTTTCAACTTCGGTGCTGAAAATCACAAAATACATCGCTCAATTATTAAATTCAACTGAAGTATAGTATTATATAATTTAATATATTTACATTCTAGATACTTTTATTTTACATCTCGATTTAAAAAAAAACAAAGACAATCTCCCGCGCGTGCGCGCGGTGTGTGTACCAATTGTATATAAAAATTGTCCGTTAATAACGATAAAAAGAACGATTGCAAAATATTTCGACTTGTTTTTGAACTCACAACAGTGAATTAAATAATTTGGCATTATAAGAAATTTGTAAAACTTGTATAGTATTGAGCAGTGGAATGTTTTCATGTGGTTTATTGCGTAATCGTTGAAAATTTCAGGAAAAATTTTT